AGCTAAATAAAACTCTCTTAGCCGAAGACGACTCCTATCCTGCCGAAATGCATATTTGTGTCCCTTAGTCCTACTATTCTCACTGTTAAGTACAAAAAAAGATGATGCATCAACACTATCAATTCTCGTTACAATCTTAAACACCTCAATCAGATCCCTTCCAACTCTTCTTTTTTCAAGAAAAAAAATTTGAGAGATTTCAACCTCTTCTCGTATGACAACTCCTCCATCCCAGGCACCTCCTTGTTTATAAATCCCCTCCCCTTTTGTACTCTGTCTCTATTAAATAGCCTGTACCCTGTATTTCAAAGAAATTTTTGTTATCAAAATCATTTACATTTAACCATGTTTCAGTTAATCCCATTATATCAAAATCCTCCATCCATCCCTACCAGTACTCTAAAGTCATCTATTTTGTTTCTTATACTCCTAGCATTACAATAGTAACAATTAAGCCTATCCTTATAACTACTTCTATATTCATTTCCTATACTAAACTTTTCTCTGTCTCTCATTCTTTTTGCATTTAGTTTATCCTGGCCCTCACCAATGTCTATTCCTAGTTTAAAATTTCCCTTTCAGGTTTTAACACACACAATGATAATTCCTTATTAATCTGGCTTGTCAGGTTAAAACACACAGTGATAATTCGTTATTAATCTAGCTTATCAGGTTAACTCACACACAATGATAATTCGTTATTAATCTAGCTTATCAGGTTAACTCACACACAATGATAATTTGTTATTAATCTAGCTTATCAGGTTAACTCACACAATGATAATTCATTATTAATCTGGTTTGTCAGGTTAATTCATTGTTAATTTGGTTCATCAGGTTATAACATACACTGATAATTTGTTATTAATCTAGCTTATCAGGTTAACTCACACACAATGATAATTCATTATTAATATTGTTATCAGGTTAAAACACACAATGATAATTCATTATTAATATTGTTATCAGGTTAAAACACACAATGATAATTCATTATTAATATTGTTATCAGGTTAAAACAGACACAGTGATAATTTGTTATCAATCTGGTTTGTCAGGTTAAAACACACACACACACAATAAATTATTCCCAATTTACTCATTTAAAACAAAAAGCTACTTTGTCCCTGTTCTATTTACCAGGTTAGAAAAACAAATCTAACCCATTCTTAATGTGTTTCATCTAGATCATACAAATCTATAGTTAATCCCTAGTCTGGTTCATCAGCTTTGTTCAAAAACTATCACATACCCTATGCTTATATAAATCTGAATGTGCATGGTTAGCTGTCCAAAACATGGAAAACCAACATGTTTATATCTCTTGACATAATTCTTGTAATAAAATCCTTTGTTACACTAAGAAATTTTGCAGAGTAATTTAATCTTATACACTTTGTTTATTCATCTACAATTTGGTTCAGCAGGTTAAAACACAACCATTCCTAGTCTGACTAAAACATTTAACCACACACAAAGCTTATCCTTTTTGTAGGTGTTTCCTCAGCTTCCTCTGGAAGCTTAAAAACATACAAAATTGATTCATCTTCAATATAGTTGATCAGCTTTGTTTGGAAGCATGAAACATGCACACACACACACACTAGGCTAATTCATCCATAAACTAGTTGATCAGGGTAAAACATATGCAAAGCTAACACATTTTAAATCTGGTTGATCAGCTTTGATATTAAAGTGTCACATATGGTACTCACCCAAAACAGAATACATCAAGAAACAAGTCCTAATTTTGTTTATGAAACACCTTGCCCCCATTAATGCTAAAATGTATGTTTAAGCCCCCATCAAAATAACAGCTTTTACTATTAGTATTCCTAGTCTACTTGTTTTACCTTATCTTACAGAAACTGCACAATTATCAAAGTATTTACACTTAACTTTCATCAGGATCTGTGACACAGTTGCATTATATTTAACACGTCCCTCAGGAGCCAAGGGGTGTCTTTATACTACAATTTGTTGAATATTAAAAGTAAATTCAATCTGGAAACTCCCACAGAGGGTGGTTTTGAATGTATCTTTTTGAGACTACTTCGAGACAAATTTTCACTTGTTAATTGATAAGGTTTTAAGTGAAATACAGCATCCATACTAGTCTCCATACTAGCTAGTACTAAGGTCTACCTGCTGGGAGTAAATTCAGTATATATCAATATAGTCACATTCTCAGCATCATTAATTAAGCAATTGCCAACCTTTTATGCTTCTGCTATCACCTTTTTATGTTCAGCTTTCAATTGAGATACGAACGATTTCACCTTCGATTTGATAGGGAAGGTCGAAGAATCATGATAGTCAGCAGTACGATGAGCAGACAGAAACACTTTGAAAGCAGCTTCAGGCATAATATTGTACTTGGTTTGCTGCACAATATCTACCAAGGTGGTTCTAAACGGTTCCTGAATACCTCTGTATGTCATTTGGAGACTTCCTTGCTTCTTGTGCTTGGCCATTAAACTCATGATGTGCTGACAGATTTCAGTCACCTTACTACTTCAAATCACTTCTCGCAGCCCCAATGTCAAAAGAGTGCGGGAAATGCCTTCTTTTTAGCCAATAAAAATGTCCAAAAATTTTAAGTTCAAATTAAGAAAACCGGATTGGTTAGGTTTTTTTCAACAAAAATGTCCCCACCGGCTTTTGACGGGCCTGTTAAAGAAGTAAAATTTAAAAGACCTTTACTATAAATTGATATAATATCCTATTACTACTATATTTTGTATTTGTTTTTCAACTTTTACAAGTATAAATGATATACATAAGAGTTAAATGCTTTGGGTAATACATATATAGTGGATAGTAAAACTGCACAAGTTCAAGTGATTTCTAGATAAGACCACAACCAATGTATTATTAGAGATATCTTGCCTATTTTATTTAATAATTTGTCACTTTTGCAATAATCACTTAATTCAGTTTTGATGTCCATCACCTTCCAAAAGGTTTTTGTATAGAGGAAGTATTCAAGTTCAGTCTTTGTCTCACCACTAAATCTTTGACATAGAGCTTTCACTTACTCCTTGTTCACTTTCCCCTTTCTTTCCAGTCTTAGAGCTAAATCTCTGGTATAGATCTTTCAATAAGCACCTATTAAGGATCCATTTTCTTTTCTGTCTTGCCACAAAACTTTTGACACAGGTATTTTACTTAATAGCTGTTCATTTTCCATTTTTATTCCTGTTTCACTACTAAATTTTGGCCTGGATCTTTTGCTTAAAAGGTGTTCTCTTTTCATTTCTTTCCTGTTTCACCACTATTCAGCATGAATCTATCATTTAGTAGCTGTTCCCTCTCCACCTCCTTTCATATCTCACTAAAACATTTTTGGCCTGGATCTTTCACTTAACAGCTGTTTTCTTTTCATTCTTTCTTGTTCACTGCTGTTCAGCATGAATCTATCATTCAGTTGTGAAGCACTTCAGGCACTACATTAAAATTACAAATGCTTATGTGAACAAACATTTTTTGAAAATATTCATATATGACACATCCACATATCAAGAGAAGAAAGATGTGCATAATGGAAGTGTCATAAATATGACTGTTCAAATAAGGAAATGGAAACATTACAGTAAATACACAAGTTGACTGAGGTGCATTTCAAACTGCTGTATAAGAAAACAGAAACCAGCAGTTTGTCTTATCTACATTAAACAGACATGATCATAGCAGAGAGAATGGCTACAGAAAGTTTATATTATCGATATTAACTAAAGGAAGTGAGCTGTATACAAAAACGACTGACAGAACTTTGATTGGATGGAAAACATGGATAAATACATGTGAATAGGCTGCCATTTAACAACTTTTGACCAGAATCAATTATCAATTTCATAAATCATCAAAATTAAACCAATTAGATAGAGGACATACTTGCAAACTAAGCATGTAGCACAACTTGAAGAATCATATGAACATGTACAAATGTGTATAAAAAATCAGGTTTTTGGCTCAAAAATTGGTTCTCCAACACCTAATCAAGATTCCTATGAAGACCTCCTACTAACTGACTACAGCTGTTCTACCAAGCATGGAAAATGCCCACCTTACAAACTCTAGTCTAACAGCATAATTAGTAAATGACATATAATGTGTGTGTGAATAATATGATGTTAAAAGAGAACTCACTTGTAGGTTCAGTAAGATCCATGGAAGAAGTAATAGATTTGTTAAGAGATATTTTAAAAGATGCTATAGTTGATTTGTCTAAACTTAACTATGTCTGAGTGTATTTCACATAATACTTTAATTAATAATCTGTTTGCTGTAGAGTCCAATTTAATAAGTCTTATTAAAGGTTTAATCAAAGAACAGTTACTCACTTAAAACGAAGGATTTGATGCTTTTGGTATTGTAGGCTTGGATGAGTATATGAATATTTAAAATTAAAGCTTTGTATGTACTTTGTATTTCATTTTCCAAGTCAATTCTTTATTCAATTTATAAACTTCCTCGAGTTGGTGGCTTGTGTGCTTAACCCATGACTGCATTAGCTTGATTTAAGTAAATTCATTTGTAACTGGTGTTAAAGTCGAACCTCAAAAAATTAGCCTACCGGCCTCCCTCTCCACCTCCTTTCATGTCTCACGACTAAATCTTTGGCATAGATCTTTCACTCAATTGTTTTTCATTTTTTTAATGTAAAAGTAATAACACGATGTATTGACATTCAACATGACAAACATATCAATAGAATAATACTTGAGACACACAGTAGGTGCCCAGAAGTGCACTGGTTGAATGTTCATTTCCTTCCAAGTATCAGAGAATAGATAGGATAGTCAAAATTTCAGCTAATTATAATATAGGCCTGTTTGAGTGACAAAAAATCAAACTTTGTTGTTAAATATATCTCAGACATTGAAAATCATTATGAACATAATAAGATATATTCTAATCTTTAGAATAACAAAGAATCTTCAGATCGTCTTTCATTGACAGTCTCTAATGTGTTACACAAGTCAGGTTATTCCACAACATTAGGAATCACACTTTAAACACTGTACACAAAAATCATCTGATCACATTTACTAAACAACTTTCAAAGGACAAAACAGCCAGAAACTGAAAATCTTTACGCCAACATGGGCACTGCGATCAGTACAATTTACATTGCATAATAGTTCAATGTCTGATGAAATTATCATATTATTTCAGTAACTTTAATTCAAGTATTAGCAGAATATGAAATGATATTTTAGTTCATAGAGATCATATAAATATGAGCATTCCTAGAATATGATAGAAATACAAGTTACTATGTTATTAGAACTTGGCTGGAGATCATATAGATGTAAACATTCCTAGAATATGATAGAAACACAAGTTACTATGTTATTAGAACTTGGCTGGAAATCATATAGATGTAAACATTCCTAGAATATGATAGAAACACAAGTTACTATGTTATTAGAACTTGGCTGGAGATCATATAGATGTAAGCATTCCTAGACTATGATAGAAACACAAGTTACTATGTTATTAGAACTTGGCTGGAGATCATATAGATGTAAACATTCCTAGAATATGATAGAAACACAAGTTACTATGTTATTAGAACTTGGCTGGAGATCATATAGATGTAAGCATTCCTAGACTATGATAGAAACACAAGTTACTATGTTATTAGAACTTGGTTGGAGATCATATAGATGTAAGCATTCCTAGACTATGATAGAAACACAAGTTACTATGTTATTAGAACTTTGCTGGAGATCATATAGATGTAAACATTCTTAGACTATGATAGAAACACAAGTTACTAAGTTATTAGAACTTGATTGGAGATCATATAGATGTAAACATTCCTAGACTATGATAGAAACACAAGTTACTATGTTATTAGAACTTGGCTGGAGATCATATAGATGTAAACATTCCTAGAATATGATAGAAACACAAGTTACCATATTATTAGAACTTGGCTGGAGATCATATAGATGTAAACATTCCTAGAATATGATAGAAACACAAGTTACTATGTTATTAGAACTTGGCTGAAGATCACATAGATGTAAACATTCCTAGAATATGATAGAAACACAAGTTACCATATTATTAGAACTTGATTGGAGGTCATATAGATGTAAACATTCCTAGAATATGATAGAAACACAAGTTACTATGTTATTAGAACTTGGCTGGAGATCATATAGATGTAAGCATTCCTAGACTATGATAGAAATACAAGTTACTATGTTATTAGAACTTGGCTGGAGATCATATAGATGTAAGCATTCCTAGAATATGATAGAAACACAAGTTACCATATTATTAGAACTTGATTGGAGGTCATATAGATGTAAACATTCCTAGACTATGATAGAAACACAAGTTACCATATTATTAGAACTTGATTGGAGGTCATATAGATGTAAACATTCCTAGACTATGATAGAAACACAAGTTACTACGTTATTAGAACTTGGTTAGAGATCATATAGATGTAAACATTCCTAGACTATGATAGAAACACAAGTTACTATGTTATTAGAATTTGGCTGAAGATCACATAGATATAAACATTCTTAGAATACAATAGACACAAACAACTATATCATTAGAACTTGGTTCCATATCACATAAACAATCTTAGGATAAAGTAGAAGTCACCTGGTTGGTTGACTGAGGATTTATGATGCAAAGCACCAAAGCATCTGTGCCAGATGTTTGAACCAAAAAATTACAAAACCCCACTGAAAGCAATGTAAAATATGTAAAAAGTTGAGTAGAAAAATCAAATAAAAAGTCAATATCATCATTAGTACAAACAAGGTTAAAAATGGAAATGGCCTGTAAAAAACTAAAAACATGACCGATCTGGAGAGTGTCACCATCACCAATGATAATGTCCAACATCAAAGGTAAACCTTGAAATAAAACATGTCTAAAATCGTACCACTGCTGGCAGTCATAGTGGTAGCACGAAGGTAAAAGGTGGGCATTTGTGAGTTGAATGTCACTAAGGCCACACATTGGTGGATCAGTCCCTTGTAAAAGAAAACAATGAGTTTTGAAACAGTGGCCAAAGTGTAGTCTAGACAAGGCAATTTCCTTTCTCCAATTTTTATGGAAACTAGACAGTTAAATAATATTAGTAGAATTAATCTGGAAAAGCTTGTTATTATGTTGCTCACTTCAATTCAGCTGCCAACTGACAGAAAGCCATGTCTTGATGACAGCCTGAAAGTACACAAAAGGAACAGGCAAAACTTCTGCAACAATGCCAGAGTAGATGGATTTAGTTGTGGTGTTAGCAAGCTTATCCCCATGAATACCAACATATCCAGGAATCCAGAAAAACAATATAAATGTATGATAAAGAGAAATTGGTTAGGCTTTTCTGAATACTCAAGAAAACTGGGTGAGAACTCACATTAAGCAATCCTAGAGCCTTCAAAGAGCTAAGCAAGTCAGCATAGATAGTACATTTAGTGTACTGCTTAGTTTCTACATAATCCAAGGCAAGTGATATTTATACAACTTGCCAGTGATCACAGAATGTGTAGAAGGGATTTTTTGAGCAACCCCCCAGCCACAGCAAACTATAGCAGAGCCTACAGGATCACCAGATATCAAACCATCTGTAAAAATTGAAACAGAACAATAGTCCAAAATATATTCAGCAAAGAGATGTTACTTCCAATCAGAAGTAACTGACCTCTTCAGATAACTGTTTTTCAAATCAAATCAAATTATCCACGATGGAGTGGTGTCTACAGAAACTGCAATGGGTTGGTGGAGAGGAGATTGTTTGATTCCAGGAACCAAACACAACACGAATTAACCATCTTCTCCAAAACCTAACAGAGGTAGCTAATCAAAGCAATTAGCCTACAGTTAGAAGGAATCTTGGGATCCTTTGCAGGTTTAGAAAAAGGGGTGACAATAACCTAATACCATGCATCTGGAAAATCTTCCTCCTCCTGCCAAATCCAGTTGAAGACAAGCAAAAGAGGTTTTAGTGATCGTCTGAGGAGCTGCCAGAAAATACAATCAATTACTGTCTCTACACAATTGTTAATAGGAGAACAAATGAATAAACCTATGGCAATAAGAGACTGACTATGGACATGAAAATATGTATATGAACCAATATTAATATTGGCACCACACCAGAGTAGATTGTATCCCTTAAAGTCTCCAAAGATGAAAAAAAAGGAGATGACAATTGTTTGATAAGATCATCAAGGTTCACTTAACTCTCTCAATACGAGTTTGGTCAATTTGACCAACCACGTGACCTTTTTGTACTCGTTTAGTCTTTATAGATTTAATACCTATAGCTCTCAATATAGTGGGTATATCTTCACGAAATTTGGCAGCCTTTTAGTTAATATTACAAGTCTTTCACATACAAAAATTCATTTGTCCATGAATATATTGAGTATTTGTTTTGAATAGTCCCTGTGCAAAGTAATTTTCATGTTAAAATTAAAAATACTTTTCCTCATCTCAAAAATCTCAAATTTCTTTTGTGTAATCCCTAAAACCTCCTAAATGCATTTCAAACGTTTTTTTCAGTAAAACTTTATAATTAATCTGTTATTTTCTCTACCCTTTCTCAAAATGGGATCGGTCAAATCGAACGACCTCTTAACCGCACACACACACACACACACACAC